CACTTCTGTTAGGGAGCAAGTTAGCGATGGTGAAGTAGCCTTCAGCTCCACCAGCTGATGAAGTAGTCTTAGGGAGCAGGGCAGGCCTCAGGAATGGCTGTCAGCTCATTACCTCATTGGCAGTTTGCAAATCGACTTTGATATTATTCCAATAATAAGGCCATTCTTGGTCCCTAGGGTGCTTGTAAACTTCCTGTGGGTGTGGTTATGGTGATCATGAGGACTGTTACAAGCTGCTGACAACTGATGCTCTGGTTGTGACTGTAGTCTGGTTGGATGCCCTTCCTGGACGAGGCGGTGGGGTGAAGATTGGTGACCTTGAGAATCTGGGATGGGACCTGCGATAGGTGTGTACCTGTTAGCCTTCAGCGGAGGCAGAGATGGCCATGAGAGGATGCAATGCAGGGTAACCACAATGACTCTGTGCCTGCCAGTTATGAGTGCCCTGTGGTGAAGTCCCAGTGTTCGTGGCAGTGGAGAAAGAGCATGCTTATGTAGAGCCCTTAGTTGCCTGCTCTGAGGTTTATTTATGTCTGTATGCACAAGGAGAGGATGGATGGTACCGTCTTAGCCAGATGAGGGCATTTGGGTGGGGGAGCCTTAGGAGTTCAGATTCTGGAAGCTCAGAAAGAAGAGTAAGATGGTAAGTGACTTAAAACTTGTGGTAATTTGATCCATATCAATAAGAGGACACACATCTTTCTGTCATGAAGTCTAAAAACAAAATGAAAAATAGATGGTTTTCTTCTTTCTCATTCCTTTTTAAATAAGCAGTTTCTCAAAAAGCTTAATAAACAAAGGTCAGTGCATGTTACTTACCCCAGGAAGCAGTCAACATCATTAAGTCACTGTGTAATAAAATGATTTGTAACTGGTTCAACATTATTAGGAAAGCAAAGATTTTCTAAAGTATTGAGCAGTTGTTGTTGTTAGGTGCCAACAAGTCGCTTCCGACCCGCGACCCTGTATAGGGTTTCCAAGGAGCAGCTGGTGAGCCTGAACTGCCAATTTAGCAGTTCAAAGCAGTAGATGAGGATTATAATACAAAGCTGCAATAGCAACTTCCAGGCACATGGTTCGAAGTTCACTTGTCTTAACCTCTCTGGCCAGTTGTTCTAAAGCAGCTTCCATGAATAAGGGAATGCACTATAAAGAAAAGTAGTAAAATATTCCAAAATTGTAATTAACCATATTCCTACTAACAAAGTAATTCACAGCAATTATGTTGATTCAGACTCATGGTGCTCCAAATGTTTCAGAGTTGGGTTTCTTTAATCAAACAGATGGAATCTCAAGGTTAAGCAAGTTAATGTGGAAGATAGTAGTGGAATTAGAATACAAACACAGGCTGGATGATTTCAAGGTCCTTGGTTTCCCATGACAACACATAGCATTTTCCTCTTCACAGTTTTCCCCTCAATAAAAAGATGCTTTTGGGGATTAAAGACCAACACAATAAAAATAGTAATACAAAAGCAAAAACAAAAGAAAGTTGTAAAAGAAATAATGAAAAAATATTGGAGAAAGTTAAGGCTTTAAATAAATGACGAAAGAAAGGAATATAAGCATGATTAGATGAAAGATTATTTTTTCTTGATAATGAGATACAACGCTAAGGTAAAAAAACAAAATAGGAAATAGAGGGAGAAAAAATATTTGCAAAGGATTGGCAATCAGAAATTACAAAGAAGTTTTCTAAATCAATTATCAAAAGACAAGCAATATAAAAATGAGAAAATGATATCAACAAGCAATTTACAAAAGTCAACTTTGAAAATGATGTGAACATATGGAAAGATATTCAACCTACTAGTAAATTGCATCAATGCAAATGAAACCATATGATTGGTAAAAGTTTGATAAACAGGCAAAGGACTTGAAGAGACATTTGCCTCAAGAATATATACAAAGAGCCAAAGTACACAAAAAGATGATCAACATCCTTAATCAAGGAAATGCACATCAAAATCACAATTAGATACCACTCTCTACCCAGTGCCTTTGAGCTGATTCAGGCTCACAGCGACCCTGTAGGACAGAATAGAGCCATTCCTTAAGGTTTCTGAGAATGTAAATCTACCTGATTAGACAGCCTCATCTTTCTACCATGGACTTACTGGTGGCTTTGAACCACCAACTTTATAGTTAGTAGTTCAATGCTTAAACCATAGTGTTATCAGTGCTGCGATGACTCTAAGAAAATTACAAAGTATTGGGGAATATGTGGAGGACTTGGAACTCCCGTGCATTGCTGGAGGCAATGTAAAATGATACAACCACTGTAGAAAGCAGTTTGGTGGTTCTTCAAAAGATTAAACACAGAACTACCATGCTGTTGTTGTTGTTGTTATTAAGTGCCATAAGACCTCACAATTCTATTCCTACATATATACCCTAAAGTATTGGAAAGCAGGGACTGAAAACAGATATGTTCATTGTATCATTATTCACAACAGCCAGAAAGTGGAAACAACCCAAGTGCTCACCAACAGAATAATAGATAAAACAACTGTGGCACATTCATACAATGGAATATTATTCAGCCACGAACAGGAATGAAATACTGATACGTGTGACAATATAGATTGGCCTAAAAAACATGTTAAGTGTAAGAAGCCAAACATAAAATCTCACATATTGCATGATTCTTTTATATGAGCTATTCACAGTAGGTCAATTCACAGAGACAGAATGCAGATTCATAGATGTCAAGGGCTGAGGAAAGGGGTAATGGGAAAGAATTACATAGTGGGTTTAGGTTTCCTTATGGGATGATGAAAATATTTTGGAACTAGATAATGTGGTGGTTATACAACATTGTGAATGCACTAATTACCACTGAATTGTTTAATTTAAAATGGCTAATTTTTAAATGCTATGTGATTGTCACCTCAGTAATAATCAAAGTTTTATAATAGGTTCATGATGATCCAGGGAAACAGGTACTGTCATATACTGCTAAGGGAGACAGGAGCAGAGTACTTGTTCCTTTCTTATGTTTTTGCAAATTCCCTAAGAAGTTGGGTACTTTGCAGATGACAGTGGTGTAGGAAAAGAATCCTTAGAGAACAAGTGCTCTTTTTGAGGGTCACCATACTGGAGACTGCAGTGTAGTTCCCTGTCCAGGAAGGCACCTCTTCCATCCCTGTTTCAGGGCCCCAGTCAGGGAATGCTGGAGAGAGTTGTCCAGGTTTCATCTTTACCTTCTTGCCCCTGAGATGGTCATGCCTGCCATCTCTCTGCTTCCTCAACACTCCCTCCCTTGGTATTCCAGTCTGGAAGTCAGTAGGACCTTTTCTGAGAGAGGCCACAGCTGGTTCACTGGGACTCTCTGTAATCTCACCCCAGGTCTTCACTCCTGCTTAGAGTGGCTGGGCTGAAGTGGCAGGTTGCACATGGGCTACCTCTCCTTCTGCTCTTTCCCTGTGTTGTTGTTAAGTGCCATCGAGTCAGTTCCGACCCATAGCGACCCTGTACAGGGTTTCCGAGGGTGTAAATCTTTACGGGAGTAGAAAGCCTCATCTTTCTCCCGCGGAGCAGCTGGTAGTTTCGAACCGCTTACCTTAAGGTTCGCAGCCCGATTCGTAACCACTACGCTACCAGAGCTCCTTGCTCTTTCCCTGGGTGGAGAGCATTGCTGCTTTCCAGGTTTTTCTCACTTATCAGTTAGCCAAGTTTATTCTGTTTTTCTCACTTGGAATCAGGCTTTTTGGGGGAGTAAGTTCTTTGGGTTCGTTTTCACCATATCCTTTCAAAATTACATGATTTTATTCTTCAGGGACCGTGTATTTCATCTTAACATTTCACTGATGTGCTTAGTTTTGGCCATCAGAGTTGGATTCTCATACTGCCAGTCTTAGGCTGGGTTGTCTAGAGAAGTAAAACCAGTGAAACATATATATGTATATATATAAAGAGAAGTTTGTGATCAAGGAAATAGCTTACAATTGCAGAGTCCCAGGCCCCCAGGGGAAGAGAGAGAGGGAGCCTTTCCCATGTTTCCATTGTATTAGGAGCAGACCAGATCCTCAAGGAAGCATCCCTTCAATTGATTGGCTGCTCATAGCCACTCCTTACAGAGTAAACTATGCCTCTATTAGGTTTCATCACTACAGGAAGCAGCACATCTCAATTGCTAAACCTATGGAAATCTTGGCTTAGTCAAGTTGGCACAGAACTTTTTTTTTTTTTTTTTAAACTTTTTATTGTGAATTGAGTGAAGCTTTACAGACTAGATATCATCAGCTTTTCAATCAACAGATTATATGCTTTGTTTCATCTCAAGGATTACAGTCCTCCCTGCAAAACAGTTATCTTACTTCCTCTTTGTGGCTTTTCTTTTACATATTTTTTCACAAATAAACAAAACCCAAAAAATGTTTCATGTTTA